CATGCCACTTAAGATGACCTGTCTGCCACTCTGGCTCACAATCTTTTTTTATACTAAATTAATCCACTATGAACTGTGCACACTGTGTGCCCTGCTGCTCACGTGCTCTTTGTAGCTTCTGCCACGCCGTGCTTCAGGGAAGGGAATTTCAAGCCCTGGCATCGTTTATAGGCTTCAGCCCTACATTTAAATCACAAATGTCTCTTCCAGTGAAAACAAAACGGCTGGAGTTTCTGGCTTAAGGCGAAACAGCGTGCACATATGCACACGTGTGGCTGAAACAAATTGATATGACCAGATATAGGGCAAAATTTGAGTTGTACTGAATTCCCCTTTCCTGGTTAATTAGCTGCTTCCTGAAGTAATGCTCCAAAGTTAGAAGTGATGCGTAAGTGCTGTTACAAAATGGTAAGTGGGTGTAAAGGACTCTAAGACTGTATAACTTACACACTGAGAGGCTGGCAGGAGGTAAGCCGGAGCATGGTAGGATTGGAAGTATAGTGCAGGGGTTCTCAAACTGGGGGTCGGGACCCCTCAGGGGGTTGCAAGGTTTTTACACAGGGGGGGATTGCGAGCTGTCAGCCTCCACCACAAAGTCCACTTTGCCTCCAGCATTTATAATGGTGTTAAATATATAAAAAAGCATTTTTAATTGATGGGGGGGGGGGTTGCACTCAAAGGCTTGCTATGTGAAAGGGGTCACCAGTAAAAAAGTTTGAGAATCACTGGAATAGTGGATTAATTCTAAATGACGACTGGATCCAGTTCAACCAAAGGGTACCCTGCTCCCCACAAATCATGGCACTCCTGGCTCCCTATCAGTATTTCTTCCTCCCTATTCTCCATGTAGGGTCCCAAAACTCCTAGATGGTATCCTCTTCTCCCCTCTCCCCCGTGGATCTAAATTTGGTGTCTTTGTGACCCTCCTAGCCCAGGTCCTGAATTTGTGGATTCATGGATCAGGAGCTAGAGTCGTCCTCCTTTAGTTGCTTTTCCTGCTACACACCTCTCCTCCATCCCCTCATTGTGTAAGTTATACCAGCTTAGCTGCCCTTACACCTACTTACTGGCATGTGTGAAGTGATGTGCCAAATTCAGATGATGTGTAACATACAGAACCTTTGTTATATTCCTCTGGAGGTCTCGGGGGGAGCAGGGAGAAGGGGAGATTTGTTTCAATGCAAGATGTCACCAAGTCCCTTCAAAGCCCCTCCTTATAACCAAGAGAAAATAAGTTGGTATAGTGCCTACCGCATTGGGGCCTTTTTCCTAAAGACAGTCTCTGGGAGCTACTGCAATGCAAATAACTAAATTGAGGTATTAATAATCTGTGCCCTAGTGTTGCATAATCTTTGCTAAACTTTGCTTGTTCTCAGCTGCTTTTTCTATGCAACTTTACTAGGTGGAGTTTAAGGGGCTCATTCTGTTTCCACTTTAAAAGTACATCTGACAGCACATATATGGGTATTTGCCATGAGATAATGAATTCAGTCTAGTGACTCTTTTGTCCTGGAAAAAATCAAGGAAATCTGATTGAAGTACAGATTTGCTTTCAACTTTTCCTTCCTTTTTGACTTTGTCCATGACCTACATATTGGATCCTGCCGTGCCAGTTGGAAATAATTGAGATTGTAGTGTAGGTTATTTACCAGACTGTTCCTTTGAAAATACTCGTACTGTGCCCAGGCCGCCGTAATTTTGGGGCAGGCAACAAAGCTCCATTAACCCTTTTTGGCTAACAGCCTTGTGCAATACATTAGGTGTAATTAAAGGACGGGATAGGAAGGCAAGGTCTTGCTTTTGCTAATGCCAGAATGAATTGTAGGTGTGCCCTGCATCACAATCGATGTGTCCATTTTCGAGCTCCAAGGATGACTATAGCCAATTGCAGATGTTCACATCCAAATACATACTCTTCAGAAATCTGCTTTTACATAAAGAGCCACTGGGGTCTTGTTGGTTTGAGGCTAAGTATACTGGATCAGAGGCTGCTATGGAAAGCTTGTCCTTATCTTTGTTATCCCAGAGATTCTCCCCTCCCCCAAAGGATAAATACTGAAGAGCCAGCTCGTCAATTGCTTAGAAAACTTATTTCCATGTAATTAATCACGAGGAGTCTAGTTTGGAGATTGATTTGTAGGAGAAAGCAAGCAACAGTCACAATTTTGGGCTTGTTTTCCTTGGAATAGAACAGGGATGCAAGTCTGGAGCTGCAACTCTTTTGTCTCCCCAGCTCCACATCCCCCTCCATCCGACAGGTTTTCACTAAACACACCATAGACTTTCAGAGAGAGATCCAGTTTGAAATCCATCCAGGTGTGGAATGAGGGAAGAATCTTCAAGAAGATTACAGCAGCTATGCTGCAACTCGTTAACTCAATGTCTTCCCCTTCTCCCCATCTCCACCCCATGCCTGGGGTCTTTTAGTGCTAGTACTAAATTCACTTAATCTAGCCCACCTGGCCAGGTGTATGAAGAATGGAATTGCCTTGCGGCAGAGGACGGAAGGAACATGCACACAGCTTCTGCAGAGGAGTCTGCTTTGGGGAAATGCTAATCCCATTTTAGCACTATGACAGCAGCTCGTTAAAAGTGGTTTTGAAATGTGCAGCTAAAGCACCGGCTTTGCACGCACACACAGCTGAGAATAATGGTAAACCATGTGCGTTTCATTTTCATTTTCAATTGCGCAAATCGACCCTGGAAAGAATTTGCGGGCCTAAACTTGCGGTGGTATGCAATTTACAAGTATCAGAGCCACATACAGTTTCCAGTTTTAAAAAAATACAACTCACAAAATTCAAAGACATATTTTTGGCTGCCTTTTTTTGCTGCAGATCATGTTCAAAGCTCTTCAGAAATATTTACATAATTCCAGCTTCTTGGAAGGCATATTTAATGTGTATTTTTCCAGTACTCGGAGGCAAATTATGTGCAAACTTGGTTAGAGTCCCACTTTTTAAATTATGTATAAATTCTGTTTGTCGTTTGTGTGGTGTTACGGTAGCATCCAGAGACCTCAATTAAGATTGGGGCTTTGCTCTGCTGGAATGCCGTACAAAAACAGAAATAGGAGAGAGTTTTCTTTGCCATGAAGAGCTTACAATCTAAGGCACCAGTCCTAAAAAGAGATCTGCGTGGGTGGGTGGACCCCAGTGAATTTGGGGTCGGGATTATTAACATGGTTCCTTCTTCAGCAGGATTGTGGCCCTTAAATGAGTAACGTATGAAGAGCTGGGGGGGGGGGAGAGAATATCCAATATGTTTGCTACATCCTAGTGTTGAAATCACATAAATACCAACTTTATCCAATTGCCTTTGGCCTAGCCATTATTTGTTGGCTAATTTCTTACAAGCATTGCTGCAGAAATAGGTCCTGAGATGGGAATTGGAGGCAAGAGTGACAGGTTTATGGATCTGTTTCGGGAGAAGTTTCTGTGCATAAGGGTTGGCATGGAAGGAAGCACAAATATGTTTGTGGGAGGTGCTTCTTCGATCCATCACCCAGAGAGAAATGCGAGCCTCTCGTGGATTGAACTGCAGCATGATCGGTCTGCCAGTATTAATCTTTAATGAGCAACAATTACTCTGAAGTTTCGTGTGGGATTCTAGCACCTGAACTTACAGTCACTCTCCAGCCCTGTAACACCACAATATGGATAATTATTTTAGTGTGATGGGTGTGCTCAGAATTGTACAGACACATGGGTAGACAAGAATCTTGGTCTATAGTGGACACTACTACAGTTCAGACACATGATTCACAGAGTGAATGTCAAACTAGGCTCTGCCTTAGTGGGTTTATGTTCTAACATGGATCCAGTCTACCCTAGAACAGTTAAGGAATAAACTCTGGACACACTGCTCAGGGAGATTGCAATAACCCTGCTAGCAACAACCCATGTGTTTAAATATAGTTGCATAACTATTCTAATAACAGCAATGTAGACATGGCTCTGCCCAGTCAGCCAATCAATACTTACCTGTCCTCATTCTGATGGTCTTCTCTTACCCTGTAGTCCTTCCTCCCCTCCTTTCCCCCCCACCAATGTGTTCTTCTGTGACTTCTCTGAGTTGCTGTCATGCACCGTACTTGCTATCTGTGCCAGCTTTCATTTCAAAAATATTGCATATGGATTTAACTTCTGCTGTTTTTTTCTCCTGCTCCGTAATTACAACCCTGCTGCTCCTGTCTCTCCTGTTGTCACATCAGTCTGCTCTCTGTCGAAAGGTCTGTGATGCTCAATGTCTGCTGAACGAAGTGGCAAAAAAATTAGCAGAAGGGGCTGGGGCTAAAAAGATTGGTGTAGAAAGGAGTGGAGGTAAAGGGCTAATAGATTAAAAAAAAATATATATAGTAAGCCAAAATTCTAGTGGCAAATGTGGCTGTTTGCTTTTGGGTTTACTCAAACCTGGAACTGTGTGTATCTGTCACAGGCTGTTAGGTGGCTTTTATTAAAAATGACACTGTTGCCAGTGTATTATTCTAACACTCATAAACATTTAGTATCTGCAGTGGTAGAGCTTTCCTTTTTCTCTAACTGCAGCGTTTATCCTCCGTATGCTGTACAATTGACCCTTCAGTGATAATCCCAGGACCAATCCTAGGGCAAATCCCAGACACTTTAGTCCTAATTTTGCAGGCTGTAAAACCTGCTGTTGTTAGTGAGAGTTTAAATTGCTACCACCAGCATCTTACCCAGCTAAGGAAAGTCTCATGCAAAGTTCTAAGGATCCCTTCCTCCTCTTGTAAGATCTCCATGTTGTGCTTCCCAATCTCCATTTTGGGATTGGATCAGGACTCCTTTCAGACTCCTCCTAAATTAGCCACATGGACCCACTGCAAGGTAATAAAGTCCCACACAGGTGGGAGAACTTGATTTCCTGTCTCAGCAAGACTCTCCTTCCCCTTCTGCTGCCTCCTACTCTACCCATGCAAGTTTTTTCTCTTGTCGCAGAACTAGCATTTCTCCTTGGCTAATAACTTGTATCTGATTTAGTTTCCAGGCAGACCGCCCTGCATTAAATGTCGTCATTTTCCCTCTACTACATGAGGACTTGACGGAGGTCATCAGAGATGTCCCCATGATGCACTTGGATGAAATTACCTTGTTTAAAAGCAGAGTGGCTGAGGAACCTCCAAACCTGTGGTGGTGATTATGCCATAGCACATGTAGAACAGTTGGGATGAACGTGTGAAACAGCTTCTTATTGGCCTGGAATCTCCCTTCTTGAGCTTATGGCCGCCTTATGGGATGCTGTACGATCACTTTAAATCAGTGCAATTGAAAAGCAGAAGAGTCTGGACAAACATTGCTGTGGGGAAACACAGACCTTGCACATAAAAATACAATATCAAAGCCTTTTGGAACCATATGGAGATTTTCTTGTGGTTAATAATGAATTCCTCTTTTACTTTATATTAGTTAAAGGTAAGAGAAACTAACTTAAAGAATGATCCCATTCTTACCCTTCACCCCTTGTTGCCTGATATATTTCTGTAGGGTTCCCGTGTACTTTGGTGGTATGCGCTGTTGTTTCCTCAGTGATCATTCTTTGCTTGAGTCTGTTATTAATGGCAAAGTAGGAGACCTGATTCTGGGTGAGTTAATGTCCCTCTGTTACAATGGGCACAAAGGTTCATTGCTCGAATGAAATGCATCATACCTCTTATTATAAATGTGTGTACATAGTTACGCACGTGTGATGAGAAATATTTAAGGGTATTCTCTTTTGAGAGAAGTACCTCAGGTTTTTTTTTGTTTTTTTTTTTTTTTGCCCCCAAGTAGCAAATCATGATTGTTAACCTTTCAAGCCCATTGCTACATTCGCCTTGCTGTTAATGTTTGGGCCGTTTGGCTTGTGGGGAAGAATTCCTCATTTTGTGTCTCAAGTTTCCTCTCTAGATTTCACAAACTCCATGTTACCAAATCTCCAACCTGAGTCCCATCTACCCTAAAAATAATAAATAAATCAACATGTTAGAACACTGTTCCAACTAGCAGTGTAGGTGGGAGCCTAATGGACCAGCTCTATCCCCAAATCATGTGCATGATTTCAGAGATTGTATGGAGTATTTTCAAAGTGTAACTTCATTAGCCTTGCCTGCTCTACTGAATGTCCTTAGGAATTTGTAGTGGGCTGGATCACTTTTCAGAGTGCCTTTATTGATGTAGCACTTTCTAAAGGGTCAAATCGCTGTGCCAAAAGCCAGAGTGCGCGTATTTAGTACAAATGTTCTAGGTGGTGGTAGGATTTCCCTTGAAGTGGAATATTCCATGGTAAAATGTGGGGCTAATCTTTTCCTTAGAGGTTATCCATTTGAGTTTGAACACTTTCTATCCAGTGGTATGGCAAACAGCTGTGCTGTGACATCACTGCTTGGGAACTCAGCACGTCCATGGGTGACATCACAGAATCAGCTAGTCAGTGTTTCCTACACAGCAGTGCCATAGTTTCATAAGCAGTGGCTACTGGGAACGGTGTCAAAAACATCATGGTTTCAAAGGGTGGATTGGATAGCAGAATAGATCTTTACGCAGGCTTCAGACACTTTTCTCTAGTCTTCTTCCCACTGCTTAAAAATTTCCAGACTTGTTTATCCTGTCCTACACGTTAAATCATGGGCCAGCCTGATGCAACCCATATGTGTACAAAGAGGACCTAACTATACATGTGCTCATTGATACTTTCTCAGCATTCACCATTTATTAAGAGTGAGGCTGCATATTACCAAATTAACCCATCGGAGCACATTTGTACTCCTCTTTGCTTTAGAGCTCACCCTTACCTTTAAGAGCATCAAGTAGTTAACTTTTGCCTTCTCTTTCTGTACACTCTCTTTTCAGCAGCCCCTTCACTGAGTGGGACTTCCAGATTGAAGCTCTCTTTCCCTTTCCCTTCCCACAGGACAGATTGGCTAGCAAGGGTGTGGGAGTGCGAGCTGCTAGTCTTGGAGCTATTAAATAAATTAGCAGATGGGTTTTATGCTTTTACGTGAAGCAGGTGCCCTGTAGCATTTCAGCAGCTTTAGCCAGAGCCCTCGCCGCTGGGCCACTGGATGAGGTGCTCCAGAACTAAACTAGGTTTCCAAAATATCCCTGACTTGTGTGTGTGTGTGTGAGGGGGGTTGGGGGTTCCGTTAAGCATGGGTAGGTAGGTAGCTGTTACCCCTTTGCTAGGGTCCTACCACTGTTTTCTATCTAGTTGTCTCCAGAATCCTGTCTCTCTCTTCCAACCTCTTCTTGTATCTGTGGCTTGGTTGAGCCCCCTTCTTTGTCAGGCTGGGCTCCTTTCTCCCTCCCAAAGCAGATGTACTTTTTTTGGGGGGGAGGGGGTCAGGAAAATAAATTACTGCTTTGTCCAGGTAAGACCGCTCTGTGCAGTTGCTGAGTAGATCCCTTCTCCAACACAGATTATTGGGGTTAGGTAATGAGGAGATATTGAAGCATCACTAAAGCTGCATTTCTTTTCCTCCTGAACCCCTAGCAACTTCAGTGTGGAGCAGAGGGAAAGCTGAGTGGGTACAGGTCTGGAGACGGTTCTCTGATATTCAGTCCATAATGGGAACTATCCTAGCCAATAAACAGCGGCCTCAAGTAGTGCATAGTGTGGTGCCTGAATGCTATAGGTAAGAGCCCTTTTGCACTTGAGCAGGGATTTCTCTTTCTAACAAGCAATGGGGCACCGTTAAGAGATGGCTCAGTGGATTCTAGTTACGAGGAAACTTCCAGCTCCCATTTTCTTCCTGCTGGAAGGATCTGATTTCTGTGATATCTGCTGAATTGGCAGAAAAAAATCGATTCAGATCTGGCTCTATTGTTCAAAAAGGTATGTTCTAATAGGTCCATGCTTTTCCTAGTCCTTTCTTTTAAAAACTGTGTTGGTGTGATAAAATATGCTTCATGTAGGTCAGTTCCTTTGTAAAGAGATACTGTATGCTTTCCTACCTCTAGATAAAATGGGAGTGGATCCCTTTATCAAGTATGTATACGACCATTATTGTATTGCCCGTGGCATGATGCTTAGACATCTGTATTCACGTGAGCAGGTCTGTGTTCTCAATATGAACCGCAACATTCAGAATAAGGGCTAGGAAAGGCCAGCCAGTCGCACCTCAGGTTATGCTAAAGGGACCGAAAAGAATCCTCACCCCCAAACGGTGGGACCGTGCTCTGCATCCCTGCTACAGAGCCTCCTGACTGCGAGTGAGAATTTCCGCTGCTTCTGCACTCCAGGCAGGAGTCACCAGATGTTAATAATGTGCTTATTTTCTCTAAGTGCTATTTTGGCATCGGTGTTAATTACAATTTATATTCTGCAACATTTACACTGGGAAAAGAACCCACCCTAATAGTCCCCAATTGGCAGTGCTGGGCTATTAAACATAGCACCATATGTTCTGAGCAGAGAAGTATATGGGATTCAAAGTATAGTCAGCATTAAGGTTCCATGTGCAGTTTTTGGGGAGGACTTTTTGTCGTTGTTCTTGTTCCTAGTTTTTCTTTGACACAAAATGCCCTTTTTTGTTTACTCTCCATCCCCTCCACTCCAAAAATCCCTCCCTGCCATCTGTGGATGAGACGATTGTCAGACTGGCCCCGTTCTCTTGAGCACCCTGAACCGCATCAGGTGCCCTTCCCACAGGGGCTGCTTCTGCGGTGCTCCCGGTCCCTGCCGGACAGTGAAGGAGCACCAGTTATTAGATCAGAACTCTGACCGCTCCTCTGGCAGTGGGCTCCATTGCTGGCAAACCAATGACAAACTCCCATTCTTTGCAAGTGTTTGGATGGATGCATTTTGACGCTAACTGGATCGGATGCTAAAGTTAAATTAAAAGTTACAGTCACAAGATCATTGATGCCAAAACATGTTTAACAAAATGGCTTTCCATTCCTGCTGCCTGGTGGGTTCTAGGCTTTTTTTAAAGTGGTTTTATCTTTTGGTAAGGAGAAGCTGACTGGATCAAATGAGTCGAAAAAAGGCACCTTAAAGGGAATGTAATCCTGTTGGTCTCTTCCTCTGCCTTTTGGCAAAGCTCTGTTTGGGTTCTTTTAGCACCTTGTTTAAAACCCTCCCACCCACTCATGGTACAGCAACAATATGTCACGTCATCAGGTTTCCCGAGTGCTGGGAGTGATGCTAACCTGTCACCCTGCGGTGTGGCACTTCAGCGGTAAGAAAAGAGTTTAAAGAGAATTGAGACCGCTTGATCTGTTGGCTGGAGCATCAGCCTGGGAGCTGGTTTTCAGCCTCCTCTCTGCCACTTGCTCATTGTGTGATCTTGGGCAAGTTGTTCAACCTCTCTGTGCCTCAAGTCCCCCATCTGGCTCCCAGGTCACATTAGGCTATTGTAAAGCTCTAAAGTGTTGTCCGTCTTGGAGGACAAACAACCGAGGACAGTGCTAATTTAGGAGGAGGGGAAAATGGGATGAATTAGAGCAGCTGTCTTGAGTTTCCTAACGTGGCCCAAGGTGGAGCAGAGTCCTGGTGCTGCCAGCTGCAATCCCAATATCAATATCCTGATTGTCTCAGGTGACAGAGTTAAAAACACAGAATAAACAGGGCACTGGGGAGCTTCCCAACAATGGAAGCTTCTCAACAGCAGTTTCCATTCCCTGTGAAAGGCCACATGAACCATATACTACTAACACTCCCATAGGCGGCGGTCACCTTCCTTAGCTGACTGTTACTGGGACTTACCCTGCTGCTGGCAACGGGCTGCCCCATGACTGCCGGTGACTGTGGGCTAAAGGACTTCTCCATTGCTCTCCTCGTATTGAGAGGAAGGGATGAAAGTGTTGCAGATGAGTGCTACTATAGGGATTGCCAAGAGCCCTCAACTCTTGTTTATCCCAGTGAGAATTGCGGGTGCTCAGCACCTTGTAGGTCCAGCCTTTCACCTTTTGCAGTGGGGTCTCGTAACTTCAGAAACAAAATCCCGATACTTAATTTAGCAAAAATTAATACTTCAGGTGATGCGGTAGCTTATTTGATCTGCTCATGGGAGTGCTGATCCTGGCTGATGCCGTGTCCAGCCAAAGCCTTTCACACTCCTACCAGGAGGAGAATAAGTCTGGAAAAGGAGCAACGTGAACATGACTTGGCTATTGCAGAAGAAAATCTCTCTCTCCATTGCAGGGTCCGTAGGCTGCCTCCCTGTTCGATTAGATGCATAGGCAGCCAAGGCTCTCTAGCAGGAGAATCATTTCCATAGAAACCGATTGGGATGTTGTAGAGGGAATAATGATTAATAGTGAAGGGACGTTGCCTCAGGCCCTTTTCATTTTTTCGGGGGCAGCGAGGGACAAACCAGAAGGAAGCAGAGCCCAGGTAGGGGGAGATGCAGTCTCTAACACTAATGAAAAACATCTCTTCCATTAATTTCCAGGCCAGCTCCCCTCTTCTCCCTCCCTCGGCGGCTGCTTTCCAGCTTCCTTTGAATTTTCAAAATGGCTAACCTGGTTAGAAGTAATGATAAAAGGATGGATGATGCCTGGCTATTAACATGGTTGCTGTTAGCAGCAGGATCTCAGCCATAAAACATGAAGCAAGGGAGACATTGACCTTTCTGCTGTTTTGAAATGAATGGAGACATCGATATCTATTGTTTTCAGTGGCATTGACCTCTGACACTCTCACTTCTCCTTCTCCCTCGCTCTTTTATTTCCTCCTGACGCTTGGGGAGAGGGGTCAGTTTGTACCATCTATTGATCCTGATCTTACTTGGTGATAGGGAAATAATTAGAATTGTAAAAGATCTACAACATACTAGCACTATATATATACACAAACATACATCCCTCCCCCTTCCCCCCCCCCCCCCCATGGAAATTCAAAACTCCTAGATCTGAAAGAAGGCCGATCAATTTAGGTTTAATTACTAAATGTTTTTTATTTTAGCTTTGTAAATGCTCAAGTGTAGCATTTTATGTTACTGTCACAGGAGTCTGGATGCCTGGTGCCTTGTTTTATTTATTTATTTTTTGTAAGTAGCCCCTCTTATGTGAACAACTTCTACGT